TGACCATTTTAGGAAACGTAGTGACATCATTTTCAAATTCATATCCTAAATCTTGACATCATGCTTCATTGCTCTGCGGCATAATAGGCATAATCTTTCCCTACTGTCCCTGGGTCTACAGTCAGGTTGGATCTTTCTGAAGTTCCCATAACTCCTTTTCTCACCTATCTGAACAGTAGCCAACACAGATAGGTATCATACATGCATATAGAATTACATAGATTTTTGTGAGTATATTTATACATATGGTACCAACTATACATCATATTCTGCAACTTGTTATTTTTATATTTTATTTTATATTTTACAGATCTTTCCATATCAGAATATTTTGGCCAACCTCATTATTCCATAGAATTGTATAGGAAAAAACCATACATACCATGTCAGTTTTTTTTTTTGTTTTTTTTTTAATCTGACAGACTGAGATCACAAGCAGGCAGAGAGGCAGGCAGAGAGAGAAAGGAGAAGCAGGTTCCACACAGAGCAGAAAGCCTGATATGGGGCTCGATCCCAGGATCCTGGGACCATGTCCTGAGCTGAAGGCAGAGTCTTTAATCCACTGAGCCACCCAGGCGCCCCCATACCATGTCAGTTTAATCAAATTTATTGACAAGCATTCATGTTGTGAACTTCCTATTAGAAACAATACGGTAGTACCATCCTTGTTCAGACTCCAGGTTCATAGGTGTGAATATTTATAGTTAGTGTTTCCCAAATCTAGCTTCACATTAAAAACGTGTAGAGTGCTTTCAAAAATACCACTGCCCATGCTCCCCAGCCCCTACCCCCACTAGACCTAGTTAAATCAGAATCTGGGAGTGAGCCCAGACATGGGTATTTAACAAAATCTCCCCAAGTAATTTTAATATGCAACCAAGGTGGAGAATCATTACTAATTATGAAGAATTGGAATTGCTGATTTGAAGGGTCTATACATTTTACTTTTGTTTTTTACATTCTACATTTTGAATGCATTTTGTAAATGGCTAAATAATACACCATTGCAAATTCTGTAATATCATTGCTTCTGCTCTAAGTAAAGTTCTCAGGAAATCTGAAAGTATAAAGCAAGTACCTTCCTTTACAGAGTCTCTTTCTAAGCTGAAATAGCAGCTTCTCTGAAATGCCTATATATAAAGTTAGTGTTCCCCCACCTCACGTCATTACTTTCAAAGCACTGGATTGGTTTTCTTTGTATCACAGGTATAGCTCCGAGATGTTGCTGGTTTAGTTCCAAACACCCAAATAAAGAAAACATCACTACAAGTGAGTCAAATGAGTTTTTTCTGTCTCCTGGTGCATATGAAAGTTATGTTTACACTATACTGTAGTCTATTAAGTTTCAATGACCTAATGTCTAAAAAAAAAATACATATCTTAATTGGAAAATACTTTATTGTTAAAAAACTGCTAACTATCATCAAAGCTTTCAGCAAGCTGTAATTGGTGAACACAGATCACCATAATAAATATAATCATGAAATATATTCTATATATATTATATATAATACTAATATTATGTATTATTAGTATTATATACATATTAGTATTATATATAATATATTATATATATTAATATAATAAACATGAAAAGCTAAAAATATTGTGTGAATTATGAAAACATGACACAGAGACACAAAGTAAATGGTGTTGGAAAAAATGGTGCCAGTAGACTTGCTCAACACAGGGTTGCCATAAACCTTCAATTTGTAAAAGAACAAAACAAAACAAAACACACATAATATCTTTGAATCATAATAAACTGAAGCACAGTAGAATGAGTATGTCTGTCCTTGTCACAATGTGCAATCATTTCCTGAGGTTGATCATTGTCTTCTATAGCCCCTAATCTCCAACAGAAGTCCAAGAGAACAGGAACCCAATCTGTCTTGTTCACCCAGTAATTCTAATGCCTATTATAACAGGACCTAGAGTATACTCAATGGTCAATATGTGGAGAATAAATCAGTCCCTGTGGTTGTCTAGTCAGTGGTTAAGCATGTTAGGCTGTGGAAAGGACCAGTAAAATGAAGGAGAAATATTGGTTGTTCTCATTCCCCAGATCTAGCATTTCCAAACATAAAACGAGTATTTCTTTTTCTCTTTATTTATAATTTAATTTAATTTTAGTTCTAGTATAGTTAACATAAAACAAGTATTTTACCTTAGCCAAAAGAACCTACAAACCTGCACTATCCTACAAGAAACAGATAAATGTGTGACAAGCCTTGACCATGTGGTTAAAAAAAAACAAAGAAGTCAGAAGGTAGACTATGATGAACCACCTTTAGTAATAAATTTGTCCCTTCTCCGCCATCCTCCTGCTTTTGGAGAACATCTAAAAAAACTTACACAGCAAGTAGTACGGTTAAGCATGAGGAACACTTGGAAGATCTGGGCATGGAGGGCATCAGCTGTCACTGACAACAGGATTCCTTAGCTGTTCCCTTTCTTTCCCCTTATAAGTAAGCTTTGTCAAATAGTCCTATAAAAAGGAGGGGTCAAGACAGCAATTTCCTTTTGATCGTGATTATCACATTAAATTGCTCAGGATCATAGTCTCAGAAGGCCTTTAAATTCTTCTTTCTCCACCTATAATTTCTGTGTATAACAAATAACACCTCACCAAACACCATATACATTATGTCCAATAGTACTAACCATTTTTTAAAAGGACTGTGAACATGTTTAGACTTTCCTTCTATATCATACCTGACTAAAACACAAGGAATGTTGACTAAGTGGGAATGAGATCTTACATTTCTTATATTTGAAGTTTCAGGGTGACTTGTTTTTACATTTTTTAGACTTTTTTTAATTAATTCTTTAAAATTTTAGATGGTTCTAGGTTTATGGAAAAGCTGAGGGAAGTTCCCATGCACTCCACACCCAGTTTTTCTACTGTTAGCAAGTGTATGGTACACTTGTCACAAGAAACCAATATTGATACACTATTTTTTTTAAAGATTTTATTTTATTTATTTGACAGACAGAGATCACAAGTAGGCAGAGAAGCAGGCAGAGAGAGAGGAAGAAGCAGGCTTCCTGCTGAGCAGAGAGCCCGACGCGGGGCTCGTTCCCAGGACCCCTATCCCAGGAACCTGAGATCATGACCCAAGCCGAAGGCAGAGGCTTTAACCCACTGAGCCACCCAGGTGCCCCTATTGATACACTATTAATAGCATAAAGAAAAGTCCATGCTTTATTCATATTTCTACCTAATGTTCCTTTTTTATTCCAGGCTTACTTCTAGGACACCGCATTACATTTACCCATCATGTTACTTTAGGCACCTCTAGCCTAAAGGTTTCTCAGTCTTTCCTTGTTTTTGATAATCTTGACAATTAAAAGTACTTGTCAGGAATTTCATAGAATGTTTCTCAATTTAGACTTTATTGATGTTCTTCTAATGATTTGACTGGATTATGGGTTTTGGGGAGAAACCTGTCAAACACTACCTCCACAACATGATCAAGGTTAATAATTGATATAATAGTAATATTATATCAATATCATGTACCCTTGTATATGATATGAATGGCACCTGTACCTTTGCGAGCTCTACTCTTCAAATAGAAAGTGCTATGCCAACATTTCTACTTCTGTAAATTCATAAATCCAAGATATATAATTGATAACACAAAGGGATTTAGATATATAGTGAGATCAAGTCATTTCCCTCTTCATACAAAATAAAGTATTTTTATTTCAATTTTTCTTTTTCCTTTTTTTTGTTTTTGCTTTGTTTTGATTTGCTCAGAACACAAAAAGCCCTTTTATATGTATGTCTGTTATAGATTTTAAGGGATTTCTTACATGGAGCAAAGTATTAAAATAGACGTTGAATTAAAGTAAGAGCTTACCCATCACTCAGTAATTGAAGAAAAACCCCATTTATCCTTTGATAGCCCAAAGGAAAGCAAATTGGTGGATATATTTCTGCTATTTAAAAAAGTACTTCTATTATAAAACATAACATTATTTTTAAAATTCTAATTATTTACATTTGAAACAAGCAATGTACCTAGAAAAATATGTTTGGATTCTTCCTGACTGTTCTATATGTGAGAAACAAGTACCAGTAGCTAATGTAGGTAATGACTGAGTCCTTGGTGTAAGGCAGCAAAGGAAAGAGCTAATAAAAACGGTTCTTCCAGGGCGCCTGGGTGGCTCAGTCGGTTAAACTGCTGCTTTTGGCTCAGGTCATAATCCCAGGGTCTTGGGATGGAACTCCAAGTCAACCTTCCTGCTCAGTGGAGAGCCTGCTTCTCCCTCTGCTGCTCCCCCTGCTTGTGCTTTCTCCCTCTCTCTCTCTCTCAAGTAAATACATTTTTAAAAAAATCTTAACAACAACAACAACAAAAAAAGCTTCTTCTGGACCTACGTGGATAATATAATCCAGTACAGTCTAGTAAGGAGACTGTTCTTGGGGTCAGATGTAACTTAAATAAACTATTGATAATATGGGAGTCTAAATGTAACTTCGTTGTAATATAGGAATAGTGACCTTCCCCAAACTGGGGAATGCTTTTATATCAGACCAAAACAAAATGGAAAATGGATAATAAATCTATATCTGTAAACACAATATTCAACAATTAAAATATAAATATGTATTTACATATATACACTTATATATGTATGTGTATATAGGTATATGTGTGTGTGTGTATATATATATATATATATATGTGTGTATATATAGATATACACCATATGCTCTTATATATCTAATTATCTAATGTATAAATATGCTCTTTTAAAATCCCAAACTAGCTACTGGGTTTTGGGGGAGGTTTTGTTTTGGCTTATTTTGTATTTTTGGTTTTTTTGTTTTTACTAATTAATAACTACTCATTAATTAAATACCCCACAAGTTAAAACAACAGAGGTGAAGATGGTACAATGGTTAATCTTATGCTTCTCTAATATGAGAATCTAGCTTTGCAAACTGAGGAACCTAAAGACAGAAAAAGAAAAATTTTTAAGTTACTCACCAAAACTCACACCATATTGATAATTTAAGTCCTTTTCTCCTATATTTCTCTGTCCACTTAGATAAAAAGGATATCTTGTCTCCCTGGTATGGATAAAAAAAAAATTCAGGAGATCAGTAATTAGGCTTTATGCCATTTAGGAAGTAAAATAAGTATCAACTTTGATTGACAGTTATTTTACTATTAGAAAAGCTATTTGGCAAGAAAGTAAATCTTGCTGTCATTCCATTCCATTTCATTTCATTTTTTCATTATATAAAGAAAATTAAGTTATATGAAGTAGTTTTGAATTATTTTTCTTTAGCATACAGTTAATTACAATTAAAAAGAGAGAGAGAGAGAGGCAGAGTTTGTGCTCCCTAGAAGGGAAAGCACTTTAATATTTGATGGGCTCTCCTTATACGTCTGCTTTTTATTTTTAAACACCACCACCACCTCTTTGCTGACCAACAACTTCTTGCAAATTATGGCAAGGGGGGTGCGGAGCATGAGCAAAGGAGCTGAGTGAAAGTTGGTGATACTCCTTGCCCAAATTCCAAGTTGAAATCAAATCCTTCAGTAAAGTTTCTTAGGCATGAAAAAAAGAAAAAGATTTACAACTTCAGCAGAACTGTAATTCTACCAAGAAAAAGTATCAGTCAATCTACTTTACTGTCACCAAAGGATCTGAACCTGACTTTGTCATACTTCTTTCTCCTTTATATATGGAGGTGGGTGGGGGGTGGTGGGGGAGGCAAGAGGAGTTTAAAAAAAATTGATGAAGCCCTGACCCTTTAGATTCCATTTATAGTCTGAGCCCGAATGCCATCCCCCTTGACTAGCGAACTGTCCAATCCAGCTGCATGTGTCTAGATTCTATTAGGCACTAAGTGAAATATATATGCATGCCCTTATACCATTTAACACTCTGGGTCCACCTTCAAAACACTGGGCTGTGGATCAACTGAAGCACCGGCACACTCCTCTTCCAAGAATCATTTTGACAGGTTCTTCTGGAGGTGCTCCTTTAACTTTTTTTTTTTTTTAACCCATTGTTTTAAACAAAATGGCACCAAAGAAGGACGTGAAGAAACCTGCTGCTGCAGCCGCCCCAGCCCCTGCCCCGGCACCTGCACCTGCCCCAGCCAAACCCAAAGAAGAAAAAATTGACCTCTCTGCCATTAAGGTAACTAAACAGGTGAACAGTTTGGTCACTGAAACATCTTTCAACAGTAGGAAACTCTAGGAACTTGCAAAGGGGTATGTTTTTCACCGAGAGAGACAGCGTTACTACATGGGCTGGTCGATTGGAGGAGAAAAGAATCCTGACTAGAAAACAAACTCCAGCGTATAACTTCAGTTAAATCCCTATGAATAGGATATTGTCTACAGAACCTGTATTTGCTCTCATGTTTTGTTCTCTGGTTTTCTTTTTTCCCTAAATGGTCAGAGTGCAATTTAGGGATAGTAAGTGCAAAGGTGTTTTACCAATACACAAACCGGCGTTTTATTTTGTTTCATTTTGTTTTGTTTGAAATAAAATCTCTGCGGAAACTAGACCCCTTACCTTAATGCTGCATCGAAAGGACATTTTTCACCCCTGCTTGTTTCCAAAAGTTTAAAAAACAGCTGATGACCCAGTTGTCCTGGCTGCATTTATTGGACAGCTGCTGTATTTCATCTGAAAAAGAGAAGATTTTTGCAATTCAAGTTAGTTCCCCCTTCAGCTTCGCTTAATAAAATTTGATACAACACTAAATTAGATCTCAGTGCAGACAATTATGCACTCAAGTGTTTCAGTGACTATAACTGTCATCTTGTTTATTTATACACAGTATTTAATTCAGAATGTGTGAGCTGCTTCTAAATGGAACTAACCCCCCAAATACAATAAAACTTGGTTATATGGCTTTTAGCTTATGTCTCTGAGCTCTTGTATACTGATCTTTAACTAAGCAGAATGTGATTGATTTTTGCATCCACACTTTGCTGTGATCAAAGTTCTCAAATGCCAAAAGATGATCTACTTTTGGGAAAATGACACAGTAGATGTGCCTGTTACCCCTCAGTGTTGTGATCTCTCAAGTGCACCTTCTCCTTCACTGGGGCTGGACTGGTGAATGACAGTTTGAAAATCTTTATCTAATGAATTCTGCCTTACATGGAAAACTAATGGGTGAAAGGACCTATTAGGTGATCTTCTCTCATAAGCCAAACGTTCTGTACATAATAAATCTAAATTTTGCTAACTTAATACTGTTTAATTGTAAAGACAAAGCTGACCTATAAACAATGTTTCATTGAGTATTTTAGTATAATCATGGATTTTTAAAAATACTTCTGACATAAATATTGACTTGGATCACACTTAGATATATTTCATGACATTAAATAAATACATTCATAATTTTTATAACATTCTAGTTAAACATGAAATTTTATGTTCCAAAGTGGGAGTGGATTATCAAATATTTTATCTTGAGTTTGTAGGTACCTACAGTCACATTTGAAAAAAGCTGGTCAGAGAATCTAATATTGGTTAGGAGCTATTCCTAATGAATATCCACTTAGGAGGAGAAATGTATGTCAGATCTTCTACTAAATGGTTTTCTACCTAAAAGACTGCATATAATTCATTAAGAGGAAACCAAATTTTTCATCTCCAGCAATTCTAGTTAATGTATCTTTATAGATGCACATCGACTACATTATACAGTGAACGTGATTGTGGCCATGAAAATAATTCCAAACATCTGTATTATTTGACTCTCCACTCTATCCTAAGATAGATACATGAATCAGCGTCAAAGCTGTTCCTCTGTATTTATTGTGATTCATAAGACAATATTACCTCTTTGCATCTAGGATTACAAGCATCTGTAATGGGAGAAAAATGTGCCTTCTTAAGAAGAAAAAGAAATTTCCCACTAATGAATATAGGCATTAATTTTCTTCCCTGAAGAAATACTAAATACTATATATATATTGAGTTTGGCAGTAAGAAGTCTCCAAGAAAAGACAAAATATCACTTTTTTAAATACAGAAATTAAACTGATTAGTTGTTCACAGTCAGCAGAGAAGTGATGCTCTTTTAAAACTTGAAAAATTGGTTTATCCTTTAATCTGTATGCTGAATGAGTGCCAGCATGGCTAATGTAGCTAGCACAACTACACAAAAGAAGAAAATACTCTTAGGATGTCTCTGTAGTGATGAGACTAGTTCATTACAGAATGAGGGATGGGATGGATCCTGATAAGGATGCAAAGTAAAAGGAGCAGTTAAATGAATGTAGAAGAAACAAGAGGAGTTTAAACTTTATGGTTCACTCTGAGAGCCTACTCCTAATAGAGAGAAAACAAAAAGAACAAGATTGAAGCTAACATATTTTTGTAAAGGGATTTAAATGCCTTCAATGATTTGCATTCATCAATATGAATTCAGTGCACATTTATAGGTATTATAACCAAAGAATGTGGTACAACTTGAGAACCATATAAAATTTAATTTCATCCCAGTAGGTAACAAGGCTAATTAAAATGTACATTAAAACATTTCATATTATGATGCTTTTAATCACTTAATGATGTTTCTAGATATATTACCTCATATAAGATATAAACTTCTTTCAAGCAGAGAAAATGAATTCTAAAGAAATTAATAGAGCTGTTATATGTGTTCATTAACTTTCTGAAAACTCGATAAAGAACAAAATTTAATTGGATTTTAAACTTTCTTTTATAAATCATATAAGATGAGAAATTCAGCTGTCCTTTAGACTTTGAGTAATGCTGAAGTGTAGGGGTGACTATCTTCGCATAGGACTACAATCTCAGGAATAGTAATATTTAATTCCTCAATACTATTCCTAGCTAATATCTGTTTTCCATCATATAATAGACCATGTTTAATAGCCATATATTTAACCATAAACTCTGAACAATCTTTAATATTGTTAATTAGTTTTATCAATTTCTTTAATGTGCTTTCCTACCCATTTTCCTAGTTTGTTGGTTATTTAGAACATTTGTTCAATTGTTCTAACATAAAAACTTTGATATTCATGGAAGGAATGCTTACCTGATGTCCCATGCCCATAGATGTTGTATGAGTATCCTTTCCAAAAACACAAAGACTGCCGATATTTGAATATTAAAGTTGCTGTCCTGGGTGGTTCTAAGCACTCTTCGCTTTCAGAGAGCTGACACTTCCAACAATTATGCCCAGGATAAAGAACAATGCCTGATAAAATCGCCAGTGTAGGAATTAAAATCCACCATGAGTATAGTTGCAGGTGCAAACACAAGAATTAACACCTGCTGCCCAACACTTCAGCCAAGTGTTGAAATAATGAAAGAAAATAAGAAATGAGATGGCCGTGTGTCTAGTTTTTAAAAGATCTTCAATGTGTAAGTAAATGTTTTGCATGATGCATGTCTTAGGTGATATGTCAGGATTGCTATGAAGTGATGAGATTTGGAATCGTGTCTTTTCTTATGGTGCTTAAGTTCTAATTCTTGCTGTATTCACTGTAATTCAATCAGGTCATCTCTGACTAGATACTGCAGGCGATATTACAAAAAGTGGTAAAGGTACAGAATGCATTGACAGAAACTCATCCAATAACAAATCTCAACAATTTACCATACAGTCGGGGAGATTTAAACTTTCAATTTACTGGGTAATGTGGAAATAGAGCATTCCCACTAAATATATATGTTTACTGATGGGTATTCAGTGGAGGCAAATATTCTGTATATATTGCAATACCTGACTTGTTCTGGTCCAAGTATAGGGTTGTCTGTGTTAATCTACAAATTCTTTTTTCTTGGCTCTAACAAGGCTAATACAAACCCAGTCCCGCTTTGAAGAATTCTTGGGAAAATCAAGTGAGGTCATGGTTCATGAAAGGCTTTGAAAATTATAAAGTTATTTGTAATATAATAATAAATATTCACTGAGAATTAACTCTGTGCCTTATTACTTTATTTAATCCTTACAACATTATTTTGAGGGGCGCCTGGGTGGCTCAGTGGGTTAAGCCTCTGCCTTCGGCTCAGGTCATGATCCCAGGGTCCTGGGATCCAGCCCTGCATCAGGCTCTCTGCTCAGTGGGGAGCCTGCTTCCCTCTCTCTCTCTGCCTGCCTCTCTGCCTACTTGTGATCTCTCTGTGCCAAATTAATAAATAAAATCTTTTTTTAAAAAGCCAAACAAACATTATATTGAGGTTGTTTTTAGCCTCATTTTGCAAGAAAAGAAATTGAGCCTAATGAATTTCAGTAATAACTAGTAGGTGATGGACCTAGGATTTAACCTCTCAGGCCAAATCTGGAGTCAACTGTAGTAATCATATCCTAAACCACCTCCTGTTTATGAAGAGAAAATTACTATTAAGGATGCGTGAAGAAACGGTGCTTGGGTGGCTCAGTTGGTTGAGTGACTGACTTTTGATTTCAGGTCAAGTTATGATCTCGGGATTCTGGGATTGAGCCCCGCAAAAGGCTCCACACTCTGCAGGGAGTCTGCTTGAGGACTCTCTGCCTCTCCCTCTGCCCATCCTCTCACTTGCATTCTTTCTCTCTCTCTCTCTCAAATAAATAAATAAATAAATAAATAAATAAATAAATCTTTTTAAAAAAGTGTGTGAAGTAGGGGTGCCTGGGTAACCCAGTTGATTAAGTGTCCAACTCCTGATTTCAACTCAGGTCATTATTTCAGGGTTGTGAGATCAAGCACCATGTCATGTTCCATGCTGGGCTTGAAGCCTGATTGGGATTCTCTCTCTCTCCCTTAGTTAAAAAAAACAACAACAACACCTAATGTGTAAAGAAGCCTTTTTTTATTCAGAAGGGTGTGAAGTAGAGTGGATCTCGTATCACCCTGCACATCCCTGTGTAGCCAGTGGAGGGAGTGACAGGCACATGTCAGAGCAAGTTCACCTAGACTTTGACCTTGGCAGTCCACTACTCTTCTGTTCTCCACAGCTCTCCCCTGTCTTTGCACATGTTGCTGACAGGTTGAGTGCTCTCTTTTACAGCTAGAAGGTGGGAAGATTAGGAACCCAGAAAGACTCCTAGTCACTTTGCTCCAGCTTCCTATAAAAGGTTGTACATGGAACATGGATATTTAAAAAAAAAAAAAGGTTGTTATGAGAGTAGATTAGTTAGTAGTTGCCTGCGATGGAGCTGGGGGCGGGGTAAAGGGGTGAAGGTGGTCAGAGGGTACAAAGTTCCAGTTATAAGATGAATAGTTTCTGGAACCTAATATACAACATAGCGAGTATAGTTAACAATACCATATCGTATACTTTAAAGTTGCTAAGAGAGTAGATCTTTAAAGTTCTCACCACATAACACACACACAATATTTTTTAATTTAAAAAAACAATGTGACATGATGAATATATCAACTATCTTTATTGTGGTGATCATTTCACAATATCAAAATCATCAGATATCAAATCACGTTGTACGCCTTAAATTTACCCTATGTTAAGTCAATTATATCTCAATACCGCTGGAGAAAATAAACTATACCAAAGTATTTTTAAATGCTCTTAAATGTAATGAAACAGACTGAATTTTTAAAATAATTTTCATTTTTTAAATAAAATATACATCATACCAAAACAGGACCTCCAAATTTTGCCATCAGGCTAATATTTTAACAAAGGTATGGGATCTCTATTTTGCTTACAGATAGATAGCATGATTGAAACTGGGATGAAATATCAACCATATGTCATTTAGAGTGATATGTAGGAACATAAGTCCACATGTATAACAATTAAATCTTAACCTTAACTAGCTAGAGGAAAAGAAGTAGAAAAATAATACATATTGTCCATTTCTGATTAGAAAGAATGGGC